GAAATAGCTATTTTATCTCTTGAAGACAAGGCCTAAACCCAGGTGCCTACACTCTGAACGCATTGTTGATGTAATACGAATCACTTCCTAATAGCTCTCAAATAGTTACAGTAATTGACAGAATTTCATCCCTGCCTGCAAGACAGTTCACAATTTTTAAATTACCTGTGCTGGCAATGTGCAAGTTTTACCTAAAATAAGCACTTGTCCAGTCTTCATTGACATTCTCGGAAGCTTAGCTAGTGAGGTGATACAAAACACCGGTATCTTATTTCAAGAAGATACGGAAGAATCCTGTTGCACAAGGATTCTCTGTCCCTCTTCTGCTGCTTGTTTTCATACGACTGATACAAATTATTCAGTAAGTTGCTGTTATGACTTGCACCCTTCGGCTTCTTCCTTGACAAGATGCTGCAATGTTCAAATAGGTTTAAAGTAGGTGGATTTTTCGTTTGTTCTCTTCTAATAGTACTTTTTAAACACTAGTGCCCCAGGCAAGAAAGTGGCAAGCGATAACTTCAGCAGAGGGTATGTGTTGGGTGAAAGAAGGAGGCATGATCTTAAGGGATGTCATCTTGGTCTACACTACAAGCCACATAGCTCCCTGAAGATCTAGGCAAAACTTACTCATCAACAATAGCATCTGAGACACAAAAAAACAGATTTCTGCCCTGGCTATCTTTGGGCTTGCCTGCCTCTCCTGACCATTAATTTTTGAGCTACGTCTTCAACGCAGAACAAAATTTTTCACCTGATTTTAAAGTACCGGGCTGGTGCAAGTGACAATTCAGGAGATAAAAGACGAACAGAATCTGAGACAGGTCAGGCCAAATGTCTATCTAAAGACAACAACATCTTGGGGGGAAAAATTTGCAACATGTTCTTTGCGAACTGAAATGTAAACGTATACAGAAGCATAGCACTTTTTTTTCCAAAACTTTTACCCTTACAAAGTCTATATCTAAGGTAGCGAAATAGTATTTGCAGGTCCTCTGGTTAGCCACGAATATCATTCCATGCGAACGTAAGAGACGAACACAATGCTCACAGTTATCAGATAAAGCAGACTTTCTACAAATAAGGAAATACAGTATCAATAACAGAAGGCATTTGGGGACCTCTCAAAGATCCGGTCATTACCCCTTAGAAGATTAATACAGATTTGAGGAGATGGAAAAGAAAACCACTAAGATGATCAAGGACCCAAGAATTTTGGTTTATTTAGTAAAGAACATCCTTGGGATCTGTAAAAACTTCAAGATGATAAACACTGTGAGCGTGTCTGGAAGGGGACTTCTTAAGCTAAAAGACAATGCTGATATAAGAACAGGGGAGTACAGGACGATCATTAACAAATTTAGACCGGAATAAGAGAAACAGCCTTCCTACAGCAATATTGCTGCTGCTGTTAGCTTAGAAAATGGACGTCATGTCACAAAGTAGAGGAGGAGCATATAGCAGAGGAGAGGCATTTCTTTAGCCCAGGAGGTCCTTTTCAGTCCAAATGAAATAAAGACATCAAATACTGCTCCTAATGCCTGGCAATTTTGACTTTTTGGACTGGGAAGCTTCTGTATCAGCTATTTAAATTAACCGAACCATCTGCCATCCCTGCCATTGCAACCGGTAGTCTCTCTAATCTGTGCAACACACGCTGACACAAGCAGGCGCGAGCCTGAAAGGTGACAACAGAAATAACTCCAATAAATAACTGTCTCGTTTGCTTAATATACAGCTATCACTTGATAACACGCAGCGGGAAGGACTTTCAGAATTCATAGCCGCCGTTAGAAGTGCCGCTCGCCTTAGCCTAAGCTCAAGGAAGAGCGAGCAGAAGTACTGCTTTTCGGAAAACACATGTAATCTCTGCACGATAATATCGGTATGCATTACTTGGGAAACAGAAGCAGTAACAACACACTTTACTATTGCTCACAATTTTCTACCCATTTCGGGCATCACATACTTTACTTATCAAAACACTGGCTTTCCTCTGGCATTAAGCTACATGTTTTCAGTGGTTATCCCGATGAAAATGCTGTTTCAACCACCTACATCGGCAGGGTTGTTATAAACCGTAATCTGTGAGTAGATCAGCTCCATAAAGACAGTTTGGTTTGGACCTATTTTACAAATTCATGGTAAATTCTTACATTTCCATTAATTCTTCCCTTCCTTTTCAATAACTTAATGTAGAGCCTTATTTCTCATACTCTAATTCTTGCCTCATTTTGCTAATTCTAAAATAAAGCTTGCATTTACTTTCTCTTTCTAAGGTAGCAAAAGAGCAGAAACAGAAGTCTAAGGAAATAATTGCTGAAATGTCCAAATACGAAACGAAGCTTATCGTTACCGTTAACTTTTTCTTACCACCTGTGAAGATTTTCACGTTTACTTTGCAACTTGCAACACAGAAACTAACCAGTTGGTGCCAAAAGGGATCCGAAAGTCTCCGGGCACTAAAACGCTACCTTTCCCACCGCTCGGAATTAACAGCCTGACTAGGGGAGTCTCCTCACGGACATCAGAAGAGCTGTTGGGTGAGCTCCTTCGCAACCTGAGGTTTCTAAGAGCTGCTGCCTTTGCAACAGGAGCGCTCATTTTACGGCCCAATGTTGCGCTATAGCCTCTGCTGCGCAGAAAACGAAAGGCGAGGAACCTTCAGCCTCTCAGCCCAGCTGAGTGAATGCTAATTCAGGGACTATTTCCCCAAGACACAGCTAAATGATTCACGTCAAAATTGTCAAATACTGCCACCAGCTGGACAAAATGACAAAATTGCACACTGCGGAGTATACAAAAAGCAATGACTGCTGAAGGACGTGCATAAGGAAGCATAATATTTGGTACTATAGCAAAAAAGATTGTATTTTTCCTTAAAATGCAATTTTGCCACACGAAATCAGACTAGTGCCCTATTACATCCAACAGTCTCCATAGATAAAGTACTTTAATCAACAAGCTGCTCGTTGTTACAAACACACTCCAAACGTGGGCGATGGAAGAGGAAGGGTACTACAGCAAGATGCCTTGGGTAATCGGTGGCAGAAGTAGTACTGGCATTTCAAAATTGCCAGCCGCTCAGCTTGATCGTAAGCGGCCGGTTGTAACAGTGAGAAAGTGCAGTGAGCTAAAAGGGAGTTCAGTACAGAAAAGTTTCAATTCTGTCGCTACTTAGTGCGGGATTCTGAGGCACGCTCGTCCCAAGGAAGGCAGGAAAAATGGCATTTATACAAAGAAGACCGAAATATTCTAGTGATGAATGATTCCCCCTCCAAATTAAAAATAATCCAGAAGATTGTGGATAAAAAAAAGCCCACTAGCTCTGTTTCAATCCTTCGGGATCGTTCTCGCTAGCTTCAGAATCAGAGAGAAATGAAGTCCTCCCGAACAGCTTTTAAAGCCGTTGTCCTGAAGCAGCCACGTTCAGCTTATGTAATTTCAAAAGACCGATATACTAAAACTGCTTCATTTCTAACGATTAAAAGAAACGATGAACATTATCTGAATAGCAAAAACGTGTTGGAGGCCTGAGAGTACAAAGCTGCCTTCCTCCCCGATCGAACGGCAATTCTGCTGAAAGCAAATCGCAACGCTAACGCGACTGCAGCTCCTTCCTGGTACCACTACGGAAGTGGTAAAGGAAAAGACACGTCCTTTTTTAAACTGAGAGGTGGTTCTAATTTAGAATCTCATCTGACTTAGTTATATTTCCTTGGTACTTGTTTTTGCCTATAATACGCAAATATTTTCTCAGGATAACACCTCCCTTTCCATTTAGAGTCTATTACTGCCAAAACATACAGCTACATCGTACTGCGTAAACAGAAGAAGAAATGCTACGAGCAGAATTAAAAACAACTCTTAAACTTGCAAGAAAATAGAGACAAAATACTTTATTGAGTATTTTGGAACAGCCAAACAGAAATTTTTAATTAAGAGAAGTTCCCTGAATACATCTGCTGGCATAGGAAGTGGTAATTTGAAACATTAGCTGTTCTGCGTTACGTTATTTTGGACATTTCCCTACCGCAATGCTACATACTAATCTTACACCCCCGCCGGGGTACTTCTCCCAAGTTATCCTGCATCAAGCGGAAAGGTATGCGTTTCGAGTTCCCCGGTTGCTCTGCTCACAGCAGCACCACACGCGCTCACTAGCGCAGGGCGCTCAGCCTTTTGCTGTCGGACTGCGCTGCAGAAGCTGAGCCTCTCGGTGAAGCGCTCTCAGCCAACAGCTCAACCACCAGCCGCCTGCCCTTCTAGGGAAGGAGGCGGCACTGGGAAAACGCACTGGAGGGCGAGCAACAGTCAGAGGAGACTGGGCGTGCTAGCAGGGACACGGCGTACTACCCTGAGCTTTGGCCTAAATTGCTTGATGGGAACAGCCCTTGAATTTGAAGGTGGAATTTCAAATCCCATACCACACGCCTGCAGGCGGACTGGATTTGAATTAGTGCCAGCTTGCGAGGGAGAACGTAAACCAACTTTGAGCCATGCCACTGGCATCCAAAAGGCCAAGGGTTTACCTACAGGTTTTCAGGTGAAAGCCCCTGTATCTAAGCCTAAGATGGAAGTTACCCGCATTACCAAATACTTCTAATTCCTCTCTTAATATTACAAATACATTTGGTATCTAATGATATCCAATCGTCTATTTCTTGACTAACAAAACAAATCTTGATAAAAGAACGCAGTCACAAACTGAATAAGTTGTGAACTGAATCAGAACTGTTTTTCTTAATAGCAGTTATACGAGACATTTAAATCCTTATACTGTACCTTTTGTTCCAAGAACTTCATTATATTGTTAATTTTAATAAAAACAGATCTACCGTAAGTATAGTTTCAAAGACATCTCTACCCAAATACATATTTCTCTTCCCTTACTCCCCCCAGAAGTCCCACTATTATTGTTCCCTTTGATATGATAAATTCAACTGAGAATGCATCCCATATTACTTTTTTTAATTTAAAAAACCTTCTAATCAATGACTTACCTTTAGGAGAGCCAAGGCAACATGAAAGATAATGTTCAGACCCTGAGAATAAGAAGAAAAAGACTTCAGTCAGCGTCAGCACACAAATCCGTCTTCTCTATTAGTTGTCACTATTAAGTACCCTAACTAGATGCTGCCAATCTCTACCGCACGCCTCTCTTTTCCGTGCAACACTTCAAAGTTCAGCATTAAAGCCCCAAGGCACCGTTTCCAAACTCCCAGCTGGGGAGGATGACGGCTCTTTGGAATCTAACTGGTCGATTCGGCAGGTGCTACGCCTGGCACGCGACATCCCACCTTCCTTTCAGGACCTGTCAGTCCTGGTCCTTCACGAGCAGCGCAAAACACTGCACCACACAGGCCATCAAGGAAACGGGGTAATTATTTTAATTGATAGGATTTGTGCCAGTTCACTGAAAGCTGTGATTATCCATTTACAATTTTTAACACTGAAACTATAAAAAAATCCAAGAACAAACATCACTTTTTTCCGATATCAGTCAAAAAGCAAGATTATTTCAGAGTTAAGCCAAGTGATATCTGTATTAAATATTCTGCTGTCTGATTTGCAGAAGCTGGAAACATACGCACACAAACCCATTCAGGAAATAATGAAATAGTAATGTCCAATTATTTAAAAATCTAAGAAAATAGACAATACTCCATTTATTGGCAACATTGTGGTGAAAAAGACTGCATTTCCACCTATGTTTTATATAAAAACATGAAATAGCACACCTCTGCTTATATTTAACACCTTTTTCTTTTGGTGATCAAGACCTTGAGATTTTCCCTGGAGAAGGGGGAATAAATGAATGTGGCTCCTTTACATCAGTCTAACTGAAAATACTCTCGGGGCCATGCTTGCAAAACCAGCCGCGCGCAGCTCAGGCCCAACACCACGGGGCAGCCGGGCAGGCAGGACACACGTTTCCGCTGCTCATGGCAGAGACTCTCCTGTCTCTACCAGCTTTGCCTACGTATCTTGCTTATTTAACTTTCTAAATAGCTTTGTGATTGCCCAAATAGGAAAAATACCATATACAATTCTCAGTTGTTGCATTGTGTGTTCAAACTGCTGTATCGCTAGACTACTTTTTACAACTCTTCTTGCCTGCTTGTTCAATGCCAAGATAAACCTCTTCTTTTAATGTCTTTGCGAGCTGATATCTGTGTCTCAACAGATTTGCACGCAAATATTACTGTCATTGCAATACATATCACTGTGGGATAACAACAGGACTTTTTATATGGGAATCTTCCACTACACTGCAACAAGATTCCAATGAATTTCTTGTTAATGCTGCACCACAAACTGTTTCAACAAACTCCTGCAACTAATGGTCTGTGAGAATCTCATATAGTCTTAGTAAAAATAAGTGGATAATCTGCTTTGGTGAGATGGCAGCTTTTGAATCTTGCTGCCTTTGTACCAAAATGTGGAAGTTTTGGCAGCACTTTAAAAACTACCTCTATCAGATATTACCACCAATATCCCACTGCTAAAGACTTCCATACAGCGGCATGAGAAAGCGCCTCGCAAAAGGGAGGAAACTGGTCGTGTGTTCGGCAGCGAGCAGGAACGCTCCCTGAGCCAGGACTTGCCTCTGCTGGGAAAGCCCAAAGGCACAAAACTCGAGCGGCAGCAGCCGGGCAAGCGTCTGCCACCGGCACAGAGGAAGCTGTGGGAAGCCCCAGCCTGCCCCCTTGAACACCGCTGCAGGTTGGGAAAGACAGCAGTAGCCTCCCTCGTCAAGACATTTCTGCTTCGGCAACTCAGTATTTTTCCAAAGCCTCTTCCTGACAGTCAGAGACCTTATCAAAAAACCCAAAAAAGTATGGAAAAGTTGTGGAGCTTTACACACGCTGTAAAAATCAGCCTTTATAAAACCTGCAGGAATTTCTTCAGGGGTATTCTTAGGCAGAAATTTTATTTTTTTCATACGGATACTATGGTGCCGCAATGGGATTTTTATCCACTGATGAGTTTTGGAAATGCGGCTACGCGAGACATAATGAATATAGCAACACTGCACGCATTAATTTGCATCTCTATGCATAACCATTATGATATGCTATGCATAACCGTTATGGTAACAAAGCAGCTTTTTCCACTAGAGGTCACAATTGTAGCAGGACTGAGTCAAAAAAGCATTAACGGGAAACCCTTTTCCCGAAGGTGGTAGCACGGCCATGGCTGCACAGACGGGTTCCTCCCGCCTTGCGGTCCCCGAGCTGCGTCAGTGGCCCCACCAGGCGACGGGCAGGTCACAGGCTCCCTCACGGCACATCAGACAACCAGGTCACCGTGCAAGTGTCCTAAAATCAGGAGATCTCCACGAGGACTCTTCAAAGGGAGAGTCCCGGCGGCCCCGCGGGCCCCCCGTGAGCCCGCGAGACTCGCAGGCACGGCCCGCGGAGGGCATCGGAGGCGGCCTTCGCAGCTGAGGCTCCCACTCCGACCTCTGGATTTACAGCAAGACGCTTTAGATTTCAAACGTGGTGCCTCACCTACCCATTTTCACACCTCATTTTATAATCACCGGTCCGCATACTGCTTGCGTTATTTTTCCTAATGCTCAGAAGACTACTCTGACCCGGCCAAGTTTGTTGAATTATGAAAAAGGAGGTTAGCTCAGTTCATTTTTTCACAATCTCTTATTTAAAATCCTCCTTCATTTACAAGACACAGATTTATAAGACTCAGCTTACACTTCTCCATCTATTTTAGAAGTAGAAGTACCAAAAATACCAATTCATACCAGACATATAAATCATTGCTAGCAATATCCCTCCGGCAATTTTATAATGGAAATATGAAAGTACATACAAATCATTCACAGCTGGGAAAAGGGAGAGAGCTCGTACTAAATAAGCTTTAAATAATTACTTCTCAAAACCAAAGGTCACATGTTTAAACTAGGCATTTTGAAATAAATACTTTCCTATCATGCAGATCTCACCTTAATAAAATATTAAAAAACCCTTGGCACACATGAAAGTTAGAAACAATTACCCAAAGACTCGCTTGGTTAATATGCAACGGCCAAAATTAAAAATATAAAGTATTATTCAACAAGAGCTACACTCAGAGCTCCGGAATGGTTAGCGGCTTATCCTCATGTCGGTTATGCAGCCCGTCTCTTGGTTTCCAGCCTGAGAGGCTTCGCTGCTAGCGAGCAAATGAAGGGGAAGAGTATGATCTGCCCAGCTCTCAGGCGTCAAGTCCACGGTCCCAGCTCCCAGAAGCGAGGCACGCGGACACATTTCTCCAAGGCGCTAGCCTTCTGCAGAAGGCTCGGCAGTTTCTACGACACCCTGTCTAGGGGGGAATCTGTCTAGCTGAGCGTCTGCACAGTATCCTCTTTCTTCAAACAAGTGTCATTTAAGACCCCTCTCAAGCGTGTGTAGAGCCCTAGAGCATTTTAACAGACCTCATCAAGCTCAGGAACTTCGGTGAATGAACAAGCTCATCTCAAAGCGGACAACTCTTGACTATCCTGCACCCAGAATGGGTCAAGCAAAGGGAAAATTTCAGAGTTTGTGCCATCTTACAGCTGGTCCTCACAACCTGCTTACGGCTCCGGCTGACTGCGCACTGATTGTTCTCGACTTTACAAAGACTTTTGAGCTATAAATGTACGTTTCATATATTCAAACAGAAACAGCACAGTTTTACAACAGAACCCTTCATACCTACTGAGGTGATAATGCTACGTGAACATTCACCATCCAGTAGTTCTCTGTTTTCCTATTCAGATTTCACTTCATAGAAGCATACTTTTATTTTAACTTATATGGCAAAAGATCACGCTCTCCAACATAGATTGCAGCTAACATTCTCATGGGCAAAGCAGTGAAACCGTATCTCATACGGCTGCAAAAATGTAACACCTCAACTGCAAATGATATGCATATGCACTGAAATTAAGGCTGGCTTAAAATAATTGGAAACCTTATTATGTTAACTATCTTCTAGTGAGAGGTTTTTGCAGATCCTTAATTCCCTCTGTAGCCAAGACTCCTTCTGCAGATAGAAACACTTTTTCAGAAGTCCTACATTTGAGTCCCTCTGCACTTGGAGACAAGTGACGACTTTGGAAAACCCCGTAAAAGATGATGGGAATAAAGAGGAACAAGTAGCGACGGCAAAGATCCTGTTAAAAGATTTGTAAATAGTGAGATCTGCACAACAGGAAAGGCAAAGGATTCTTCTGGCTTCCTTTAGACGAGGCAGGGCGTATTTATCCATTTGACCCAGCAAGTCTACCAGGAGGCAGAAAAAAGGGAGGTAAGGGGGCTGCCAACTAAAACACGCTGCTCAACAAACCAGCTGACTGAAGACTCATGCCAAACAATTTAGTAACGTATCACTTGGACGACAGTTGCACATGGGGCTTCTTTGGAATTTGTCTCTCATTTGAAAGCTTTTCTCAGATGACAGAAGTCTTGTGAGAAGGTAGGTTATAATACTAGCCCTGGAGGGAGAGACTAGCACCTCTCCCTCTCCCACCCAGACCATCTGACAAACCTTTCCATGGTTTCACAGCAATACCGTCTGCATCATTTCCACAAATAAAAGGGAGCATAGCTCTTCAAGAAATATACTGGAAATTCATGTAATTCATTACTAATATGTAATATTAGTGTTTCTTATCTGTGGCTTTGTTCTAGATATGCATGACCTGTAGGAGGAAAGGATGACAATACCAATACAATATCCTCTACAGCTCAGCATCAGGTAGAGAAGAAAAATGTGAGAGTCAACTGAGCTCCTCTTTAAGGTCTGAAAAGCTTCAAAACTCACATGACATGCCATCAAAAGAACTACTTAACCTGTTCTGATTTTCTAATAACTGAATGTTTCTTTTTTTAAAGAGAGATTAGCTATTCAATTGAAGTTAATTTGAAACTGTTTCATAATTATGTGTTCCGTTGCATATTTTTTCAAAGGAGCTGTAAAGGGTAATTGGGGTTACAAACTCAAAAGAAGACTTAAAATTCTATTTATGCTTTGGATCGCTTCCAGCAAAACATTTGCT